TCCGTTTAGTCGGACAGCACACAAACGCCTGTCTACTGGGATCCAGTCTAAGAGAGCTAGTTCTGCCCTAGGACTCAATGCTATACTTACGCCAGAGAGGCCACGGGAAGCAGCATCAGGGCTTCCAGATACACGAAGCGTAAATCGAGTTGGTTCGTTATTTTGACGTGGCACACATCGATGGAGCGAGATTCTAAAGTCTTAGCTAAGGAAGCCTGTTGCCCTATTTGGCACAGTGTTCGGACGTTGAAAGCCCCTACGTGTAGTTTAGAGCGTGGTTTCAGGAGACCAGGAATAACATTCCGCGTACTCTAATCGTTTACACTAGTGGGGCGAGGTGATAAAGAGACGCGAGAAGGGTTACTTGTGGAGATAAGAGAGTTATTAGGAGGTGTAGGAAGGATTTGAATGTGACCAGCTTGATCTCGTGTTCTGTTACGAGTATAAGGGTTGATGTCATTTGGTTGCCCACTTCGTGAAAGGGTATTTCTTGAGGAACCTGAAAAGGATTATTATTTGAACACATAAATATTGGTACAGGGGGGCACCAAATATATATGCGCCACACAAAACAATGATAATTTGAAGAGAAGGAGAAAAGAGAAAAAAAATAAAGTAATGAACGTAAGGAATTATAAAAAATAAAAAAATGAAAAGGGAAAGAGAGAGAACAATGGTGGGGGAAACGGAAAGGTACAATCAGAAGAGATCTTTCAGTTAAGGAAGATACAACCACTTTTTATGAAGAAAGTAAGAGGTTACAGCACGATCGCCACTGGCTTCTATTCTGAGCCATATCTGATAACGTCTCTAGCCACTGCGTTACACCGTCTCTCGGACCCCAACCAGGGAATCGTGAAGGACCAACAGAAGCTAGCCCTTAGTCAAAAAGTCACCACCATCTTTAAAAAGAGCCGGAGGTAAGTCGTCTGGGCCCGGTGATTTGTAGCGTTTCAGGAGATGGAGTTCGTTGCGGACTTCCGCCTCATTTGGTGGATCAGTCGTCACCGGTATGGAGGGCAGGACAGTCTGACCGACGTTGCCGGAGCAGCAGGCCAGTTGAACTGCCCTTCAAAGAATTCTGCCCATCGTCCAAGACGTCGATGGATGTTAGTGATTGGCGTTCCGTCATCCTCGCAGATTGTTTCGCTCACACCAGACTTCTTGCTGCCAGTGGCTCGGATGAGTTGGAAGAGCTTCCGGTAATTACCAGATGCAGCTGCTGCTTCCAACTCACTGGCACGCTCCGACCACCAGGCTTCTCGGTCCTTACGCAAGCTTTGCCCGATTTCATTACGTAACATCCTTCGTCTGTGGTCAAACTCACGGTCACCCGGAGTAGACCGACGGGCTTCAATCAGTTGTAAGGAACCAGAAGAAACCCAGTGCTTGTAAGCGGGACGTTTCGCAACCCACAACAGACTTACCCGCCATTTTCATGGCGTCATGCAATTGCAACCAATGCTTATCTAGACATTTTGGTGGAATGGTAGCTAGCATAGAAGCTAGCTCGGTTCGGTACATACTAGCAACAGAAGTTGCAGCCAGCTTGCTAACATCAATCCTTTGGTGGCGGTCACTTCTTTGTCCACTGAAAAGTAAGGTAAGATTGGCGCAGACCAGAGCATGATCAGATTTCAGATAGGTACTCCAAAAGGAGCGGCAGTCTTGTACACAACCGCGCCAGCGGTAGCTGATCGCGATGTGATCAACCTGAGTCCAGGCTTGAGATACAGAAGGGGGACGCCAGGTGGCACATCGGCGATGACTGTGCCGAAAGTTAGTGCTAGCCAGAAACAGGTTGTGGTCTGTGCATAGTTGCAGTAGACGTTCCCCGTTATCTGTCCTGCGACCAACGAGTCCCCATCGGCCACCTAAACGACTCTCTTCTGTGCCTAGACGCCCGACCTGAGCATTCAAGTCTCCAGCTAGTACTACAATATCTGTCGAACGCACTTTCTGGAGAAGAACAGTTAGCTGGTGGTAGAACTCGTCCTTGATTGCATCCGGGCTGCAATCTGTCGGGGCATAGGCGGAGATGACGAAAAGACATCGTTTCTCACGCCGATTTCTTCTCACTTTGATGGAGCTTTCTAATCTAACAGCACATAACCGACTAGTGCTGCCTCAGCTCTTGCGCTTAGTGCGACACCAACGCCAGCAAGACCAGATGAAGATGCCACAGGGTCCCCGGATAAACGCACATAAAACAAGCTTTTTGAAGTGACAGATGGAGAGCGAACTTGTAGTACTTCACCAGAGTCTTGAATACGGGTCTCGGATAGACAACACACATCAATATTAAGACTTTCCAAAGACATCGCCAGCCCTATCTGTTGTCCGACCTGCATAAGTGTGCGAACGTTGAAGGCAGCCAGTTTGAATGGTGCACGTGGTTTCAAAAAAACTGCTTCAGTACTCATATTCGGTAGTAACATACAATTTTCAACCAGGCAGTGACTCAAGAACGTTTAGATAAAGCTGAATTTTCACCATAGGCGAGCTGCTGTCTGAGTCGAAACGGATACAAAAAGTAGAAATAGGAGATAGTGAATAAATGACGTAGTAAAGAATAATAATAATACCAGTCATTTCAATGTTAGTCGGAGAGAAATGAGTATTTGCTATAAGCAGATAGTTCATCATAGTTTTATTGTGTGGGCTGAGATACTGCCCGGGTGCCCAGACCGAAGCAGGTGGTTTTCTTAGGGTCCACACCTCGAGCCTTTGACCTAAAGGTCTAGTCCACAAGGCAGTGGAGTAACATAAGCAGATGCAGTCCCATGGTAGCCGGTGACCAACGATTGGTTCATACGCCATTTGTTCCTTCAGGATACTGGAGCCCATGTGCACCATAGAATTGGGATCCTCTCATTTTCGTAAACAACACAACCGCCACGAGAAGGCAGTGAGTAGGACTTCCCTGGCAGAGGCTGTATACGCGTGGCCGTGTGAGAGTATTTCGAGAAGGAGGGCGAACCCTCCCCGCTCTCGGCCATACCAGGGCATTTAGGGGCTATCGCCTGAAAAGGAAATCGGATTAGTGTTGGTCTTAACGACCTGGGAGCGTGACCGCAGAGCCCAAGGCACAACTGCTTGAGGCCGGTCGCGCACGGCCTTTTTGTGTGAGGTTTTTAATATGTTAGCTCCGTTCTTCAAATGGCCTTACCGCCAGAGACGGGAATCCGTGGGGTAAAGTGAGGTGTGACATTTTTAGGGTCAACCTTTCTAACCCCTTCCTTCCTTGTGAGAAGGCAGTATCGCTGCAGATGCTGGTTGTCCGAGGGAAACACCTTACTGCTGTCACACCTCTGTACAGTCAGCAGTACGACTTCGCCCTCAGACCTTGAGTTGCTGCTTTTAGTCTTACCGTTCTCCAATCGACCTGCCTGGCATGGTAGAACATGCAGGAACATGTGTTCCAGCCAATATAGCTCGGTTGGGTCATCACGATAGGCAAGCCCGACCACCACTTCAAGGTAGCAGCTACGGTCGGGAAAAAAACACTTTTTTAATAAACAAAATAGTTCAACCAAACATTTGATATATATGTGACTAAATTTCATCTTGTATGAAGTCAATCATTTAGCATATTTTAGTTTGGTAATCAATTTAAACTGCCACTTTATTTGCTTCTTTTTAAAAAGTTAGTATAGAATAAACTGGAGTTTTATATATGCCCTCTCAGCTCGTATTAAACGACGGATTGATAATAATAAAATTATAACAATCTAAATAAACTTATTGTAACATATTTATATTAAGATATGATTAAATGAGATCAGGTACTTCCTTTTTATCAATTAACTAAGCAAGTGCATACAAAAGTCAATTCACAGTGATAATGAGGTCACACCTGCTTCCATTCTTTAACTTTGATGACATTATCACGTTAGATAAAAACGCTTTATTCAGTTCTATATATTGACTGTAAAGAGCTGTATCTTAACGTTTACTCAGGCATATAAGTTTCAAAACAGCATCAATCATACTCCAACATTTGACAAATTTTAAAAACTTATACTAATCACTTCAGTTCCAATAAAATGAAAAGCCAAGAAATCAGTACGCTTTTTCTTAATGTCTCTAAGATATTGTCACAGCCTCTTTGCTTGTACACGATTTCGCATCAAAAGTCTCCAAAGTAACCCACATTTTAAAACATACCACTCACTAGCTGAAAATACTCGAAATCATAAGTCAACAATCTGAACGACTAGCTCTCAACCATAGAGTCGCTTTATCTGGCTCCCAGGCTAATACTAGTATATGACTGTTCCTCAGTTTTGGGTGCCCTTATTTCATACAGTTCTTGAAGAAATTCAACTGGTACTCAATTTATCGATTAACCTGTAAAAGATATCTGTTGCCTACTAATATATATTTAGTGAACCTATTGATGATCGTATTTATTTATTTATTTTAACACATAGGTATTGGTACAAGGAGGCATCAAATACATATGCGCCACACGAATCTCAATTGATTTGTGTGAGGGCTGTGATACTGCTCGGGTGCCCGAACCGAAGCAGGTGGTTTTCTTAGGGGGCCACACCCCGAGCCTTTGACCTGAACGTCTGACCCACAAGGCAGTGGAGCATCGTAAGGAGATGCAGTCCCATGGTAGCCGGTGACCAACGATTGGTTCATACGCCATTTGTTCCTTCAGGATACTGGAGCCCATGTGCACTATTTGTTTGGGATCCGGTTAAAGCGCCAGACATTCGCTTTTCGTCCTTTCATTTTCGTAAACAACACCCCCGCCACGAGAAGGCAGTGAGTAGGACTTCCCTGGCAGAGGCTATATACGCATGGCCATGTGAGAGCATTTCGAGAGGGAGGGCGAACCCACCCCACTCTCTGCCGTACCAGGGCATTTGGGGGCTGATGATCGTATACAAAATTCTAATTTCACGTCTTCAACTGAGTGTTAGATAAAACTTATTGTTTTTGCTTCCGTACAATATATATGTGGTAAAATTCCTTTTCTTAACCTCCAGAATGTCAGATGTTCCATTAGATGCTCCATCTCCCTGCCCTGGTACACAAAGTGATCTAGCCGGAAAAGCCTCAGCATGTGAAGGTTGCCCTAATCGATCTTTGTGTTCAAGTGGACAAGCCAAACTTCCTCTTTCTCAACGTGAACCAGATACGATTTGCTCTATAAAACGACGTCTTGGTTCGATTCGCCACAGAATTATTATTCTATCTGGCAAGGGTGGAGTTGGGAAAAGTAGTCTTTCAGTTTGTCTAGCTAGGGGACTAAGCAGGCGTGAACGCAGTCAAGTGAATGGTTGCAATGAAACTTATCGTATTGGACTACTTGATCTTGATTTGTGCGGCCCTTCCATTCCATGTATGTTCGGTTGCATGGATGAAAAGGTATCCCTTGTTATTGTGTGCTTGTCTAATTAATTTAACAAATATCGTTTTCTAGCCAATTTATTTAAATTCTTAAAGTTTCACTTAAACTTTAGTTATTACCAATGTTTTATTGATAGAACTCTTCTTCGTAAACCTTTATAATCACTTGTTTGATTTACTTCTGTTATGATCATTTGCAAGTATCTCTCCTAAACATACTTCATAAAAGAACATACTACTCTTAGTAATCTGAACAGAAAGATTCAGTCTCCAAACAAGTTATAATATTGATCTTTAGTCAATAATTTTTTCCCGCCGTATAGATAAAACATAACGATCGGTTGGTCTACGTTGGTTTATTTCTAACCACAATTGCACCAACCAAATTTGGATGCCTACGACTAGTAGCTCATTCCATTCACTTTCAACCTCATTCAAGTATCACATCATTATTTTCTAATCCAGTTAAGTAATGTTTTAGGTCCTTGTTTCACTAAAACTACCGATGTTCAAACATGCATGTTTATTGCTATTCCTCACAATCAATATTTAGAAAATTAGCCAGTATATTTCCGTTTCCTATCACCTCCTATCTACGATACTATTGGTAGTCTGATTATTAACAGAGACTAGCTAATCTAATAGTAAAGTGGACTACAGTCAACTATGCACAACATAAATCCTGGACACATTCATGTATCGCATTCAAGTAACCACACATCAGAACAATGCGGTATCAGAATAGTGCATGAAATAACAGTATTAATGGTAGTAGAAAAGATTAGTTATCAAAGATACGTTTTGAGAGAATGTAAATTGGTAGAAAAGAAATTTATTATGAATTTAAAAACTTGAGATCTAAGGCAAGAAAATGAGTGAATGCACGTGCTTTATTGCGACTGATTCCAAGCTATGTCACCTCAATTATGTTTGTGTTTACATATTACCAGTAAAAACGAAAACCCAAGTTGACGGTAACAAACTAAAGTTAGCTCTTGTGAAAACACCTGACGTAAATTTAGTTTCAGTTATGACTAAAGGAGGCATGCCACTTTACATGCAAGATGAAATTGTTACAGAAGATTCAGTCTTCACTGTGGTGGGTTACTCAGCTAGTTTGATATCTTATGAGGTACATTGATCATAAAATTGTGGGAGATAGTTCTTTTCACATATGAATGTAAATAATATTAGTAAGATCCGTATTGTTAATATGTCAGTTTGCGAGTTTTATGGAGGTTGCGTTGCGACGTGCAACTGAGTAAATCCACGTAAATATGAGAGCTTCCATAAACCATGACCTTATATCCATCTGGAACATCTGAGGGATTAAATATGGACAAATTCACTCGTCCCACATGCGTTATATTTGTCTTATCTTGAGAGGGCTGAAAGAGAGTAAGAAAAGGCGAAAAGTAAAGCGGATAATATTCATGATCATTGAAATTGAGTCATTTGTTGTAAAACAATGAAGTTATGACTACGTAGTCTAATTTTTTATTACTAATGTACTTTTTAAGCAAGAGTATTCTAGCAGGTCAAAGAAAACAAGCGTAAATATGGTATGAATGGACAAAAAACTGTATAAATGGAGATGGTTCAAGATGAAGCTGGAAGTATAGAATTGTGTGAAGTTTTAAAATATAGTATTGAGAACAGTATTCTGATACAAAAATGTATATCTTTCTTCTTGTCGAAGCTATTTCAGCTCATTTCCACTGATTTTATAGGGTCATAGGCAGGCTCAGTTTTTAGCAGATTGTCTAGCTTTACTTGTAATAAGATTACTTTTTAAGAAAGGTAACTAATTCAACGCCACAAGCATGATTTAAGGAGGTGTATTGTACAATAAATTATCATCAATACCATTGGTTCGTGATATCCCATGTGGCCATAAGGAGCAGTAATTTAACAAATATTTTGCCCCACAGACATGGGTGGATTGGAGTTATCTCCCCTCCACCATGTTTGCTGGTCGGTAACACCACCCGCCCTACTTTTGTGATGTTAGGCTCTCTTCAGTCCAGGCAATAGTTGATGGGGCTCTTTAGTATCACGTAATAGTGTTATTGGTCTTTGCAACGCAATGGTTTTCGTTGTTTTACTGTAGGCAATGTATATGCGTTGTTTCTGAGTTTGTAAACTGGGTCGTAGATTATGATTGGGCTGGAGGTTAGAAAGGCGAGTCCATATATTGCTTTGTATAAAAATACTATATTGTTCTTTAACCGACGATACCATAAATGTTTTAAGGAGAGGTGCTTACATTTGTCTGCGTAGTTTAGAGTGGAGTTACATTCTCGCGGTCGGCGTGTGAAGCGTCTCTGGACAGCTACTTCTATCTTGTCTGTGGCATTTATGTTTGATAAGATAAAAAACCAATATCCAAGGAGAATCATATACACATTTTGCAAAAAGTAAGCCCAGCCGCTGTTCTGGGATAATTTCTCATTTTGAAGCCAATTAGCCGTCTAGATTTAAAAATAATAAAAGAGGCATGTTCTTCAAACTTAAGGCTTCCTGTTTAAGTGATACCTGGATCGTGCACTGGTTTGGGTGTTTGAACTTTACTTTTATTTAAGCAAAGTCGTAAACCATAGGGATGTTTCCCGAAATGCATGATCCCACACTTGTTGAGGTTAAATGGTAATTGCCGTTTTCCACTCCAGATAGTTTATTGAGATCACTTTGAATTCGGGATACACTTTCGCTTAGAAATTTAGACTCAAATCTGTATGCTGTTTTGAGGCCATTCAGTGTATAAGCATGGTCTCCCAATTTTTATGGTGTTACATATATCATTTACATACATAGGAAAAAAGAGTGGACGTGATAAACTCCCCTAGATGACTCCACTAGTTATTGGTCTAGGTGATGAGAGGAATACATTGTACTTTAACATTTGTTTACGTTCTGTTAAGAACGAAGCAAACCGTGAGTATAGTGGGTTGTTTATTCCGAAGGACCTTAGTTTGACAAGAAGCCTTACCGAATTCATTGTGCAAGCTCTAGACATTCAATAAATGTATCACAACGTTTCGGCGCCCAGAGTGGAACCGAGTATTTTCGGGCATGTTTAAGTCACCCAAAATAAGCTTGCCTGTGAATGGAAGCGATGATGCTAGTGTGAATACCTCTGACAATACTGATATCTCTCCTATTGATGAGTTATGTTTCAAACAAAACAGGAACGAAAAAACTTGAATCAAGACAAAAATCAAAGGTATGATCTATATAAACAATAAACAGAGGAACAGTCGTAAATAGGAAGCATATATGGAGGGATTTTCCAAAATAATATTATAGAGATATACCACAAGAGATTCTATGATCTCGCTTGATAACTCTTCATCTAGGTCCACAATGACCTGATGGTCAGGCTGTCATGAAGCGTTACTCCATTTCTGAAACCGTTTATCTCAGAAACTACAGGGGCACCGCAATACTATCGGTGGCAGGAAAAGTTATCGAAAAAGTGTTACTGAACCGGATGAAGGATTCAGTAGACGTCCAGCTTCGAGATCAACAGGCGAGATTCCATAAGGATCGGTCGTGCACTGACCGAATTGCGACATTACGGATCATTGTTGAGCAATCGATTGAATGGAACTCATCATTGTTTGTCAACTTCATTGACTATGAGAAAGCATTCGACAATACGGATAGGCTAACCTCATCGTCAGTCAGTCAGTCAGTAACAACGTGGAACTTCGTACGTACGTACATCAGTTCGAGTTGCCATACCGAATTAGCACAGAGATTCAGTTATCGATTCAAATTCGTAGTGGTAGAGGTAGTGAAAGTATAAGTAGTGATAGGGAGCATTAGGGTTTGATGATGTTATTTGAGGAGTATAGTCCAGTGGAATAGATTTGAAAAGAAAATGAAGGACATGAAGAATTCACCTGCGCCATTGCAAACCTCATTGCTAACCCCATGGAATCGTGTTCGACACTATGGTGTACCTGGGAAGATCGTCAACATCATTCGGAGTTGATACGACGGAATACAATGCGAAATATTGCATGGAGGACAGCTCACAGATGCGTTCCAAATGCAGACCAGTGATAGATGAGGCTGCTTACTCTGTCCCATCAACAAATACAGGTCAAGTCAACCACTGTGGAAGAAGTCTCCGGATCAACAGTCCTCTACATACACAAGGAAAAATGCAAGATCCTCAAATACAACACGGAGAACACCAACCCAATCACACTGGATGGAGAAGCTCTGAAAGATGTAGAAACATTCACATACCTGAACAGCATCATCGATGAAAAAGGAGGATCTGATGCAGATGTAATGGCGAGGACTAGCAAAGCGAGAGCTGCATTCCTACAATTGAAGGACATGTGGAACTCGAAACAACAGTCGGCCAACGTCAAAGTGAGAATCTTCAATACGAACTCTAAGACAGTTCTACTGTACATGGTTGAGAATCCGAGGACTAGCACAACCATTATCAGAAAGGTACAAGTATTTATAAACAATTGTCTACATAAGATACTCAATGTCTATAGGTCGGATACCATTAACATCGACCTTCTGTGAGAGAAAACAAACCAGCTCTCACACGAGAAGTAACAGGCGTAAGTTCGTAAGCCATCGTTCATCCTAATATTTTATCGTGTTCCTGTACCTTCTCTTGTTAATACCTAAAACAATTCCACAAGCAAATTCCAATATCTACAAATTCATTTGTTTTAAAGAGTCGTTTACCGTTTCCGACAGGTGTTATTCTCAAAGTCGTTATGGTAGTCATGTCTGGCATACTCGAAAACTTAACGTATTTAGTGGATTATTCCCGTTTGAATAGTTGTGGACGGAATAGGAGAAGCTTTAGCTTAACGGGCTTCTGTGTCTAATAGCAGTGGATCACCAATACCTTTAGGCAGGAACCTAGGTGTACTAACGATAATAGAGAAAAACGAAATTGGTAAATAATCGTAAGATACTGTCCTAAGTCCTTAAAAATGGGTCAAGTTTCCTCCTAAAGGACTTCTGGGAAGTCGCTTGGACTAGCTCAGCCGGCAGAGGATTTCAGCACTTGA